AGTATGAAATATAATTTTATATATAATATATAATAATTTTTTAAAAGCTTATCCTTCCTTCTTGCTCAATTTCAGTTGTTTGGCTTTTCAAAGCTAACAGTCAAAGCAGTCTCTCATGGAGTATGTCTGAAGTCAGCTACAGTTTGCCACCATGAGACTGCCTCTGGTGCCTGAGCTCACTCATTCTCAAGTCAGCTCTGATATCTCTTTGCTCTGATTCTTTTGCTGCTTTGATTCATTTTTGTAGCTAGTTGGTGAACGTTGATCTTCTTAAGGATAAAATAATTTTGTGGTAGTGTATCTGTTAAAGCAGAATTTGTATCCATTTTCCTATTCTGTGTTTACTTATGTAAATAGATATGAGGTCTTAGCCCTTCCAGTAGAATGTCATTACGTCATTACTTTAACATGTACATCATCTTGGCTAAGACTGTGATCTGGCCCTTTTTTACACTGTTAATCTTTTTCAAAGTTTTTTGCTTTGAAAAACACTAAGTTTTAACATTCAGCATACAGATCTGTGAGTGCTAACTACGTCAAATAGATTTATGTCTAAATTATTCTTTCCTGCTTTTTCTTTTTGAATTAATTCCCGTGAAGTTACACAAAATACTTGGTCCTGTTTCTCTTAGAAACAAACAGAAATTAATGTTGTGGAGTAACTTTTTCACTTATGATTAGCAATTATGTATCATAACATCATTTATATAAATTAAGAAAATAAAAATCTAATTTTGGTTCATGATTATAGTAGTTTCCTTAATACTTACCGTACCCTTATCTGGAGCAAAAAGCTATTTTGGACATGGATTTTTACGGTAGAATTTTAATTGAAACTTGGAGTTCTTATCCAATTTGGCACACAGTTTTCTTCTTATAGTTGCTCAAAAACAGTGGCCTGTATCAATAGGTTCTGACTTCACTAGCTGCGAGTCCACTTCTGTCCCATTTTGCAGTTCAGACAAAAGAAAATGTTGAATCGTAGCTGGTTGCATCCTTAGTATTGACCTAAACATTTAAAGTATGCCCCAATGAGTTGTGAAGGAAAACAGTGTTGATGCTGTAGCTGTATCAAGATAATCAATCTGTTTATATGGTTTCACTTCAGTTATGTGCTATCTAATGATTTCTTTTTGATTTACTCTTAACTCTGCATTTCCCCTTACACAGCTTGTAGTAAGTGTACTGTTGTGTGCATGGGAGGATACTGAAACCATTTGTGTGTATGAATAAAAGCTTTAAATCAAGAGTTGTCTTTGTTTAATTTTGTTTTGTTTTAGGAGTGATTTATAAAATGTTAGCTTTTTTGTTTTGTAGTACATACCTCTTCAATTCAGGATCTGGTAACTCATCGCTTAGGGAAGTGAGCTCTTTCCACTAAAAGCAGGAGGCAAAAGATAGATACTGTTTCTTTAACCTGTGTAGCCAAGACTGTTACAAGGTGTTAATCTTCATGAAATATTTTTTGCCTCTACTTTTAAGTATTGGTGCAAACCCCTTAACTGGGGGTACTGGGCCTGTCCTACTGTCTGCCTTTTCTTTGTACCATGTATGTTTTTTACCTTATTCTCTCTCCTTCCGTCTTTCAATCCTAAGGAAGTAAAACAAAAGTAATGTGAATGGTAGCTCTGCCAACAGCCTTAGGCTTCTGGTGGTGTGAGAATGGAAATTTCGTGGACCATCAGTTGCTTTGCCTTTTAAAGGAGTTTGCTCTGTCATCAAAAAACATAATTATCAATACTTAATCACATCCATATATGTGACTGGCTGCCTACACTGGTGATTCTAACTGCTGACCAAATTGGGAACGGTTCTGAAGCTGCTTTTTGACTTTCACAAAGCATTCAGCTGAGGCTGTTACTTTTCAGACTTGAGGGGAAAATGATAAATCTGTAGTCTTCATATTTCTATCTTTCACCTTTGTTCTGTTGTTAATCTGTCCCTGTGAAAAGCTGGCCTTCCAATAATCTTTGGAGAAACTTAACAATAAAAATTTAAGTAAAATACAATTTCTTCCTTTTTCTGTTCTATTCATTTAGAGAAAAGACTAAAATGACTTCTCATTTACTGTATTGAATATCCTCTTGATGAATTAGATAAGCATTTACACTAGAAGTGTCTGGTTAGCTAACAGCCTGAATGGCCAGGCTATGTATCCTTCTCTAATGTGCACAAGATTTTAAATTAGAGAATAAAATGTATTAATTTCTGCTATAGAGGCAGAAGCCTCTAGTATTTCTAGCTTAAAAATGAAATTACTTAAAGGCATCTAAGAAGATGAGCATGTATTTAAACTATATTGGTAGCATATTAGTATTTTTGAATTAGTCATTAACTTTAAAAGTGTTGTAACATTTGAGAGAAAACAGATATGTAATCTATAGCTAGTTATTTCCAAGGCTTCAGTCCTTTTGAATAAAAGAAAAGAAGGAACTCTCCCCTCCTTGCCTTCCCTGCCTCCGCCCCCCAAGTTGCTGATATATGTTTGAAGTTAAAACTGATTATTGGCCAAAAAAAAAAAAGCATCTTGGGTATACTTTTTATTTAAAAGAAGGCTGAGACTTCTAACAGAAAAGTAGTAGATAATAAAAAGAAAACCCAAACCTTTTAATAATTAAAAAAACCTGCCCCGCCAAGCCAAAACATTAGTTAACTTTTAAGCATAGTGAACCTAATACTGAGATTTTTCTAAGCAAGTTTTTGTCCTTGAACTGAATGATGATGCTACTAGCACCATTGGTGTTATGATTTTAAAGCTATCTGGAAGTATCTGGAGCAGAGGAGCAGTTAGACCTGCTTTTATTTTTTGTCCTCATATGTAGAAAGTACACGTGGTTGGCAGATAAAGATGACTGTAAGGGAATCAGTATCAAGTGAAATTTTCTTATGCATTATCAAGTTACCAGTAATAATGTTGTGTAGCTTTTTTTTTTTTTTTTTTTTGTCCTGGAGTTGTTCAAGTATAAATGACCACCTCCCTGCTTCTGAATTACTGAGCTTCTGGAGTACTTAAAAAGAATGGTTCCCAGTTTGGGAATTAAAACCTTCAATGGCATATTTTACCTTGGTTAGGAATTTTATTCTAATCATATAAGTAAGAGTATCATATATCAACAGCAATCTATATTAAAAGAATGTATTATTTCAGCACGTTTCAAGTCTGAAATAACTGTGAGTTCCTGTGGTCACAAACGTTGGTCAGCTGGCCTTGAAATTGAATGCTTTGAAACTTGTGTAAAAAGCTATGCATGTTTAGCCATCCCGAGGCTAGTCTGAGCAGCAGTAACTTCATACTGGGTTCCCCCCCAACACTTGACTTTTCAAAGGCTACATACTTTGATTATGCTATAATTGGCACAGTCTTTAGGTTTTCATCTATTTCTTAGTAAAATCAGCTTTATGTTTATGTGGTTTTGTGCTCTAGTGTCATAAGCTGTAAATAAGTTGTTGCTGTTGTAGCAAGGTTGAACTTTTTGTAATGGTTGCTTTCTCCCTTATGCCTTCATTATATCATAAAGAAAACAATAAAATTAACTGCTGTCCTGCTTAACTATAAGTCATAATTTAAATATCGCTGTAGAATTGTGAGGGAAGAAGATAATGAATTTCTGATCTAACATTCTTTTAAAATAAATGGTCCAGGAGTGTATTTACATTTTATATGCTGAATTAATTAAAAACAAAACAACAAAAAATACAAAAAACCCCAACATCCCAAAAAACTCATAACCCCAAAAAAACCCAACATCTTGTGTTTGACTTCAGTTATCCTCTAGACTTTTTCCTTGACTCTGTTCTTACGCAGCCTGGCAGGACTACTGGTTCTTTTTTTTTTCTTTGCAGCTTAAAATAAGTTCCCAGTTGAAAATTTTCTTACTTCTTGTTTAAACATATGCAATCAGTAGTTATTTACACTTACAACTTTAGTTTCTTCCTGGTCTGTGTTTTTGTGGCTTATGCCACAATGCAGTGGCGTAAACGTCTCTCTAAAGAGTTTATTTCTTTATAGTGTTGAAGTAAAAGAATCTTTGTGTAAATACAACCAGAGCAGCTTATGTATGTATCCCTTTTTCCGTGTACTAATATTTGTGAGCCTGAGTAGTGTGCCATCACAGGTTCTTCTCATGCAGCAGACTGTGTAGTATAGACTGTGCTATATAGATCTGCAATGTGATAAGAATATATCAAGACTGAATACGAGACTGGGAAACTTCATACTTAGTATTGTGTCAGTTGTTTTGAGCAGCATGCTACACTGTGAAAGTGCACTGTACTAGGAGAGTAAACAGAATTGTCATATGTTGTAATTTTATAACTTGCTGTGAAATACTTTCTCGGGGGCAGGGGGGGAAGATGACTGTTGTTCTAGCTGGTCTTTCTTTTTCCGTTTTAGGGGTTTTGTGGTTACTCTTTTATTTGGAAAAAGCAACTCAGAAAAATACCTTGAGCAGTGTGAACATTCATTTCTTCCTTGTACATCAGTTGGGATCCCTAAGGTAAGGAGAGTTTACTGGTCTTAACTTCTAGGTCAGATTTTATAACTTTGAAAATTAGAATAACACTGATCAGTTTTAATCTGAGAATTGTTCCCATTTCCCAGGGTAAAAGAGCCTGCTTTTATGTTTTGAGTCAGCTGCAATGTGCAAGTGAAATGCAAGATTTTTTTCCTTTTTGAAATACAAACTTTTTAAGCATGTATGGAAGGTTTGTTTCAAGTATTATTTCTGGCTTGATTATGAGCAATGAGTAAGATGTAACTTGCTAATATTATCTGTGAGGGAATTACTAAACCGTTCCTTTCTAGACTACTCGTGTGTGTTGTTTTTTTGGGGGGGCAGTGGTAGCTCCTTCTTGCTTTTTCTTGCAAGATAGTCATGACTATTTAGGATTCTTCCATCACTGGATTTGTAGTCTCTCCAGTTTTGATTCTTTTGATTGATTGTGGTCAGAAAGTTGCTTGCCTGACTAAGAAGATTAAAGTGTTAGTGAAGTCTAGATTTACAGTACATCAGGAATGTAGAAGTTGTTATCTTTGGCTATCTTTAAGACCAAGCAAAAATCCTGGAAATGCATACATAAATATGGAGTAGCAATAGGATCCCCTTTTCAACTCTTTTCTTTTTTTCTGCATTATTAACAGGCACATCATTTTGGTTGATGGACCTAAATTCAGGTTTCCTAATTGGATAAATCTGCATCTGTTTAGTACACAATAAATTCTTAATAGCCAAGAGGTAGAATTTCTAGGAATTCCTGGTTTATGAACCAATATATCTTGGCAGCTCAGAATGGCAGGTCACTATGCTTCATGTTGTCTGTGAAAGTGGGGGGGGGGTGTTCAACTTTCTTATCAGTAGCACATAGAAATAAATTTATTTTGTGATTCAGCAGTATGTTTTCTAATCACAAAACTTTTATTGTTACTGGTTCATAGCTCAGTTGGTAAGTGGCCTTTTCACTTAAGTCTTTGAATCTGTTGAGAGAACTCTGGAACTTAAGTATATTCTAAACCATAAAGTAACATCACTGGTCCAAATGAAAAATACAAAGTTTAAGGCTGAAAAAGGGCAAGTCAGCAATCAACTAATGATTCTGTTCCATTAATGAAGCCTCATTTTAGGGGACTAAGGTTCTTGGTGCTATATAGACTTCAGTGCTTATATTACATGGATTGCAGAGTGTTGCTCATGTCTCACGTTTTGAGAGAAGATTTACAAGAAGTTTTTCTCTTTTAAATTTCCTCTACATTGCTGAAACTTTTTTTAAGTTAACGTTACTTTTTTGAGCTCAGTACATATGTATGCTCTGCTTGCTTTATAAAAGAATAAAATGTTGTGGGGGGGAGGGGTTGCATAATCCTTGCAAATTCAGTAGTTTGACTTCTGATTTGAGTGTGGATTATTGACAGATCACTTTTCTCAACTGACCTGTCCTGACTAATCTCTGGATTTAAATTTTGTAGTGCAAAGGTATTTATTTTTAGCTGGCTTACCAAATGCTGTTTGAAGTTGTTCTCCAACTAAAATCTGTTTGTCTTCTACAATAGTGTTTTTTATTTTTTTGCCACTGTATTAAAATAGCACTAGCCAGTTTAGCTGAGTTTCAGTAGCAGTGCAAGAAGAGATGAGTCCTAACCAAAACCAAATGTGTGGTTTGCTTGGGATTCCTATTTGCCATTTCTGTATTAAATTTCTGCTGACTTATCTTTATTGGAAAGTAATAGTTTTTAACTTGAAATTGTTTTCATGTTTAAAACCATTGTGTGGCCCTAAGTGGTCTATCTTGAACAGTGAATATTCTTTCAAGTGGCGATAGGCTAGTGTATAGGTTATGCTTCTTCCGTGAACCAAGTACAAACTGAATTCACCTCAATATTAAATTTTGTGATAGTGTATTTTGAAAAGTAATCTGATGATATAGGTTCTTTATAAGAAGCTCTTTTCCCCAAAGGCGGTCAGAGTTTTATCAATTGGTTTGAGGGTTTTTTGTTGTTGGGGAATTTTTTAGGCCAAGATGAATGTTCAAATGCTTGATTTTAAAGAAATCAGTTATAATTTGGAGCACCAAAATACTGGAAGGAAATAATGTGTAGAATGTACCAGACTCTAAGTTACAACACAGGATTTGGTGCTGATAGGTTTCCTTGGTTGCCACTTGTTATACTTATTAGCAAATATATAATGAATGCCTCACGTTAAGGAGAAATAGTTATGTAAGTTTGATGGAAGATTATTTATTATTTACCTTTCTGCCTTTTTTTTTTAATTATTTTGCATACACGCAGGGAAGTTTAAAAATTAGGATTAGACTTGCTTTTCCTTTTGCAAGTCTCTTTTATATAACTTTTGTGTCCGGAATGTACTGGATGATGCCGTAATGTACTGGCTCTGTAAAATACACAATTGTCTGCAGGTTTATATTAAAAAAATGTTTGAATGAAAGGCAAGTTTAGAGCCTTCTGAACTGTTAACTGGAACGCTATTTTCAATAAAAATTATAGATTCAGTCCAACCTTAACAGAAGTGTGGAAAGTTCAGTTATTATCATAACTGATGTCTCTTTTGCTTCGTCCAAAAGACAAGGAGTTTCTGTAGGCTGGGTACAATATTGCCAAATTACTGTAAGATAACAGTGATAACAACTTATAAATGCTAGTTGCATATTTGATCCCTGACTAGTCTCTGAATCTCTTTATTTTGAATCAGTTGGTCATATGCTATGTTATGGGTTTGATGCAGACGTGTAAATCCCCTGTGTCTTGTCCACTCGTGAAAGCCTGTGACCGCAAGTATGTGATTTGGGAAATAGTGGCATGGTCCAAATGAGTCATTTTTCATATTTAACAGTTACCTAGCATAGTTACAAAAAAGGACTTCAAAATTATCTATTAGTGCAGCAAAAGTCTGAAGTCTACTCAGTCACTGCAATTATGTGCTTTTGGAGCCTGGGTTTCTTTACACTGTGCTGCATTTCGCTTTATGGAGTGTATGTCCCACGTTCCTCATAAGTGCTTCCTACCTGCTTAAAATGAAGTAAGTATTTAGCAATATTTAGCAATATTAAGCAAATTTAGCAGTAACAAGTGATGTTCATTTTTCCTAATTAATGATTTAATACTGGTAGAGTATGTCAGCCGAACATTGTGTATGAAGTGACAGTCAAATAGGACAGTTTTTTTCATGTGAGTTGGGTCCTTCCTTTAAGTCAGTCTTCTAAGTCAGTGCCTGGAAGGCCACGCTTAAAACTGGCAATGCCTTCCAAGTGAGAACTACGGTCAGCTGTTGTAGCTGCAATGAAATAAAAGCAGATATTCTAAATTTTAGATGTCTTCAGACATATCAAAAGCAAATGAAATTATACTGCATGTACATAAACATTTCACTGGAGAAAAAAGAATATGCAAGAATGGTCTAACCTTGTAGTTGGCTCTGCTTTGAGCAGAAGGTTGGACAAGATGACTTCCTGAAGTCCAGACCCAAACCTGAATCCTATGAGCCTATGAACATTCAGATTTTTACCAAGTAACCTTGCATATTCTCTGTGTGTACCTCTCTCTGTTTCTTCTGGCTGCTGCTTTTTTCACTGCTGCCTTTTCTTCAATGTTTCCCAAATGTGGTTTTATGCATGCAGTCCTCAAACTTCAAAACTCAATCTTTTAACAATTTTGTTTGGCAATTTGAACTATGCTGTGCTTAGTAAAAATATTTAATTATTCCATTCTTTATTTTTTTGGTATTTTTGACACTGTCAAGACAGAAATATTTTCCAAATTCATTACTATATAGCTGGAGTATTGTTTGAATATGAGTCAACTTTATTCATATTAAAGTGGCATTGAACCTTTCCCTTGTCTTAAAAGTTAAAAAATATGCAGAATTTTGCAACAAAATACTACTATGTTGTGATACAGAGTTGGTTAAGTAGGAGAAGGAATGTTTTCTGGCCTCAGGTATTTCTCTGCCATTCCCTGTTAACTGGTTTGAATGAGAGATACCTAGGGAGAATCATGTAGAATAGAAACGCTGGACATATGGTTTATAATTTTTTCATTTATGGTTTTTGGCAGTTCTTCTGTGTTTCCGATAGTCATAAGTTTCTCTCTAGATCAAGGAATAAAATAACTTGATTTTTTTTGAACAACAGTGTAGGTTGTTGGGTTGTTATTTCTGTGAAAATAAAGGGGTTTATTGCAGATTTCATCTTAAGTTTGTAGGTAGACACTGTATTAGTCCACAGAGAAGCACTGATAAAGGGTGTTCTCTTTCAGTATGTCACTTGCCAAAAAGTCAGCTCTGATGAAGTCATTCCTGGAGTTAACTGCTCTGAGTTGCAAGTCCTTCTATAAAATAATTTTTTACCCCCTCATCAATTACTTTTTGAAGACTCATCTGTCAAGTAGTGATGGTAAAAAAGAGTAATTTATCTTCTGGCACATAGAATAAACTGAGATGGATAAAGAAACAGAGAGAACGCCTCCCCACCCCCCGAGCTGAGCAATTACCTGCCTGAGGTTGCACAAGAAGTTCATAATCAAGTATGACACTGGGGTCTTACCCACAAACTATCTTGTGCTGCTATCGTGTCCCCCCCTTCCTCCTTTTATAACTATTGGAGTTTTATTTCCTTCTGATCTAGTATTTTAGCAAACTTGCTCCTTTACAGTAAGCAAGAAGTAGGTTTTCAGGTTAGTTTCTCAGTGTTATTTACTATATAGTGAAAAATACAGATATTATTGTTGCCCAGAGAGGTTATAAATGCCCCATCCCTGGAAACATTCAAGGTCGGGTTGGACGGGGCTCTGAGCAACCTGATCTAGTTGAAGATGTCCCTGCCCATTGCAGGGGGGTTGGACTAGATGACCTTTAATGGTCCTTTAATGGTCACCCTTTAATGGTGATCCAAACCATTCTATGATTCTATCTTATCTACTCTATAGATTATAATAATAGGGAAAATGCTGTATAAAGTCATTACTGGAAGTATTCATAAATCATAAACAGTAGAGCTGATTTTTAATTATAGCTAAAACCTGCAAAGTTACATTTCCTAATCTCTTTCAAGTGCATAGAAGAAATGAAACGTGAAGCCAGACCTATTAAGATTGACAGAAGACTGACAGGTGCAAATATAATTGATGAGCCTTTGCAACAGGTAATTTCTAACCAGGACTATTTAATCTATTTTTATTTTTGCAAGTATTGACTATGTAATATCTAAGTAGTTGAGAGACAAGTAGAAGTGGAGAAATTTTATCATATTTGAGAGTGGTAAGTGAAAAAACATTGAGAATGGGCCAGGATATTGGGCAATATTTGGGTCTGTTTTCTGTATATTATAGTTTCTCAGCATAGCGGTGATGAATGCATGTAAACCAATATGAAAAAGAGGTTTCAGTATGTGACTTGTATTGTTTCACTCTGTTTCATAATGGTAGGGGGAGCATGGTTCGCTGTGTTAGCCTTTTAAGACTGCTGTTGCATTATCAGACACAAAAAGCTATTTTATCTTTTGTTGTCTTTTGTTCATTAGTTCATCTTTCTTTTTTCCTTTCCAATTTCAGGTAATCCAGTTTTCCCTGCGAGACTATGTGCAGTATTGGTATTACACACTAAGTGATGATGAATCATTTCTTCTGGAAATCAGGCAGGCTCTTCAGTATGCCCTTGTTCAGTTTTCTGCCAGGTAAGATTATTTGTATTTACATCAATACACTGTCTAAGCAAGCGGACAAATACCTCTGTGGGTTGTATGGTAGTAGATAAACTTAATCTTTTATCTATTGGCATAGTGCAGTGCATTTTACAGAAAGAAGATGTAAAATTTTTAGCTCATAATCTAAGAACTACGGTCATTTGCTGGTCCTTAAGGAATGAATGGAGATGATGTTTGTAGTCATGGTCTTTTGCAAAATGGCCTTTTCAAAATTTTGGTTAATGTCTGAAAGTACTGAATAGCTCTTTTTCTGCAACTTAAGCATTGAATTGCATGAATTATCACCTTTTTATATGCAGGTCTGTTTCATGTAAACAGCAGGGCTATTCCCAGCGTAAGTCAACCTGAAAGCCTTTAATTCAAATATCTCTATCAGCTCAGATAACTTCTAAAAGTGGTCTTGCTCTTCAATATGTAAGAACAATGAGTATTTTCAAAGGAATAGTAATCTGGGGAACAAAATGATACATCACATATGTAATTCTTTTTAAAAAATAGAGTTACTTGGTTCACAACAAATGGATAGTTTGTTAATTGTCCCATGTTTTTCCTGCTGTTGCTTAATCAAGAAGCAGGAAGTCAGGGAACTTGTCTGCAGAATTCTTTATCATCTTTAATATGGCTGAATACTTAGCCAAGGTACCACATAGCTTTATATCCAACTTCTTTATTAAGTAATGATTTCAGGTATTCATCCCACTGTGCTGATTGTTACCTGTTTTCTCTTCAGAAGAGGTTGTGGGTCATCTAAATATAATAAACCTCTTAGTAATTTTGAGTGTGTGGTGTTATTCCCTCCCTCTATTGACTTGAAAATGCAGGTCTCTGTGCTTTTCTGGCAAGAAAGGTCAAAGATGGAGAGCGAAGTTTAATGCTAGGAAAAATTAATTATAATAAAATTGTATTGATTGTGAAATAATGGAAATCCCAGGAAACAGTGTTGGAAATAGTGAAAACTAGGCTAAATAAACAGTTGATTACAACAAGCAATCTGTGCTTACATGAAATGTAATGCTGCCCAACTGTGGTAGTTTTGTCTATTTGGTGAAGCTACTTCATTGAACAGTATCAAGTGCTGGGTTTGTGTCAAAGCAGGTCAAGCTATAGCCAACTTAATTTTTTTTCCTACAATACTATAGCTGTTCAAAAATAGCCACTGCTCCTGTGCAGTTGTGTTCTTCTGTACAAATCAAATCTGTTTCACAAGGCTGCAGCAGTTGATTGTTGTTGTTAAGAGAAAATGATCTAGTGTATTTATAATGATTGTAGTTGGATATAGCTGTAGCAGTCTTAGATTAGTGCCATCATCTCTAACTTCATATACCCTGTGAGCTTCTGGAGAGAATGAGTACAGCAGGATACTTTTTTCCTTGAGAGTTGCACATTTGGAAGAATGATGTAAGGCTGCCACCTAGTGTGTTTGTATGATTTGTTGACTGTGCGGATGGTGGATCTGGATTATTGATGGTTTTGGTTGACTGCCCTTTGACACAGCTCCGCTTCTTATTTCCACATCTAGATTTTGCAGTAGGCCTCTCTCTCTCTCTCTCTCTCAGTTCCTTATCCCTTTCTCCCTTTTTGAGGGGAAAAAAGCAGGTGAGGGAATAAACACAAAAAAGGAAGTGGTGTAGAAGGATTCTGCTATAGCAAAGTAGGTATCTGAGAGGATTCAGGTAGTGGAATACTTAGTGCAGAGTAAAAGCCATCACTAACACCTAGCTGATTAAACCTATAACTCACAAGTGCCTTTCTAGTTTGGCTGGTAAGGCATGGACATCATAAGAATATCTCTGCATCTTTTTCATACTACTAATGAAATGGTTTTATGCAAATGTAAGAGTGACTATTTTCTGACACAAATCTATGTGCGTTGTTGGAGATTCACGCTAACAACCTCTCATAAGCTGTGGAATCAATTGTTAATAATGTTACGTTGCTTGTAGTTTAAAATGAAATGTGTGCTTTCTCACTCATGCATATACTGCAAATTTAGAAGAATATTATTTTGTTTAGGTGCCTTCCAAAATGATAGAAAGTATGGCTGGAAAAGACCTGGGGAGTATTTTAGTTTTAGGTTGTAGATGCTCATAGACTATTTATATCAGGGTTTTTCACAGATATTTGACAATATCATGAATCAGAACACTATTTCCAGATATTAATGTTGACCTTAAAGTAAATCAAGCATAAATATTAATGTCATGTGAGAGTGGTGTTTTACAATGTTTTATTTGTTTTCAGTGAATAGGTGATTAGGAGACTGATTTATTTCTTTGCTTTTCGATGTTTATTATCAGTGTGGTTCTTGGCAGAGATGAAGGAGAGGTAGATATTTATTATTGTTCTTTGTATTCAGGATAAAATAATTTATTTTCATGGATGCCCTTTTCTAATAGGTCAAAGGAAACAGACTGGCAGCCTTATTTCACTACACGACTTGTTGATGACTTTGGCACTCATCTTCGAGTTTTCAGAAAAGCTCAGCAAAGAATAGCAGAGAAAGGTGATCAGATGAAAGGTAATGTTAATGGTTTAAATATTTTTTGCTTTGAGTCTGAGTAGGCAGGTATCTTACATGTGTGAAATATAGTTAGCTTTATTTTATTATTCAAGTTTACTCTCAAGTTTCCGATATTTACAAAAAAGTATGTTTCTTTTTATTTTCTTTTGTATAGACCAAGCTGAGGAACTTGTAGATACATTCTTTGAGGTTGAAGTTGAAATGGAAAAAGAAGTCTGTCGTGATCTAGTCTGCACTTCTCCCAAAGATGAAGAAGGTCTCTCAATATCATCTTCTGAAGTTTAGTATAGCAGACTAAATTAAATACTAACAATTGTGTTAACAATATGAAATATACTGAAATCTTAGCATGTGACTTTCAAAGCTATACTATAATTATGTACATATGTAGCTATTCCTCTTTTCATTGGAATAATTTTAAGGTAGAAATATATTTTCTGGGAGGCAGGGGATGGCTTTGCAGATTCTGATTGCTTTTTGTTAAATCTGCATTCCTTATCACTATTCCATAGTCTTCATTAAAAAAAACAGTTTTTCTTTTTGGGCAAAGTGTGAAGGAAGGGAAAAAAACCCTGTATATGTTAAATAAGGAAAACACATTGGAGTTAGTTTTTTGGTTCTTGGAATTTGGCTTTCTTTTGTCTTGGGTTTGAGACTCTAGATCTGTCTCAGGTTTACATCAGTGCTGTGATGCTTGAACTATAAGAATATATGTGACTGTGTAATTTAATTTCATTTTAAGGATTTATCTGTTGGTTTGGATTTATCTGTTGGTTTTTATGATGTCAGATAAGATGTGAAATAATATAAAATTGTGCTGAGGGTTTTTTGGTGTGACGTGTTGTTTTGTTTTGTTTTGTTCTCCCTCCCTAGGATTCCTAAGGGATCTGTGTGAGGTTTTACTGTATATATTGCTACCTCCTGGAGACTTCCAGAACAAGATCATGCGATACTTTGTCAGGGTAAGTATGAACTCTAAAAGCTATCCCAAATCTTTAGTTTAATACTGTCAAAAATTATAGATCTGAGCTGGTAGTCTTATTTTAATTTGTAAAATTGATCTAATTCAATATTAGGCTATTTTAAATGCAGTACAATCTTGAAAAGTATTTAATAGCAGAGAACAGTTTGTGTGAAATGTTTTTGAAGTTTCTTTTAGCTCTAGCAACATTAGAAAAGCATGATAAAATGGAGGTTGTTTTTCTTGAGATATAACAACATCTAATTCTAATTGGAAGGGAATGTGCTGGTGCCTTTTGAATGTTTTTTGTAATTACACATTTTTTTATTTAGCCTCTACACAGTAATTTTTAAATTGTTGCAGTTGTATTTAGCTTTATGAATAAATGTATAAAAATGATTTATTGTATTTTGTTTTTCAGGAAATCCTCTCCCGAGGAATTCTTCTTCCATTAATAAACCAGCTCAGTGATCCTGATTATATTAATCAGTATGTCATATGGATGGTAAGATTTATAATGTTTAAAAGGAATGATATTTCCAGAATATGTTCATATAAAGCTTTACTTGTGTTTCCTGTAATCATAGCAGATAGATACCTGGTAGAAAAGTTACTAATGGATATATTGGCAGAGATAGTGAACTTATGGCTGCTGTACTAAATTTTTTATATATACATAGAGAGAGAGAGAGATATACACACACACGCACACACACTCTATCTCTATCTGTATTATCTGTACTCTGTGTTGTGGTTGTTAGGCAAAAGTTGGCGGACTGAGGGCAGATGTATGGCGAAGTGTAAAGCTGAGTCCTCTGACTGTTGTAATTAGCTGTTCAGGAAGTATGGCAGTAACCTTGAAAGTTTTCTTTCCTTGACTGTTTTTTCAGTGTGTCCCTTAAAGCTTAGGAAGCCTTCAGAATGAAAAGTAGTAATGTTGTGGGGTTTTTGTTGTTTTTTTGTTGTTGTTGTTTTGTTTTGTTTCTGGTTTTTGCCTCTGCTAAGGAATCTCAGGGTGGGGTTTTTTAGGGATATTTGTGGTAGCTCTTAATAATTTAACTGAATGGGAAGAAATAAAGTCTTTACTTCAGTATCTCTCTAACGCACCTGCAAAAAAAAAAACACTTTTAAAGAAATAATATGTAGTAAAATTAACATAAATAGAATATTCACACTTTAATTAATGTTACTGATTTTTTGCAAAGCAAGTTGAAACTTACTCTTACAGTTTATTATCCTTTGTAGGTCATGAGTCAAGTTTTAATTTTTTTTTTCCTTTCTTCACATTCTCTCTACATTTATACATATATTTTAGTCTTAGAGCATGCATTCAAATACTACACTGAAAACAGCCTCAGGAGTTCACAGTAAAAATTCTTGCATATGGAATGAATTCAAGTGTACATGTACAATGTTTCATTCACTCCAGCCACCTCCATTTTATGTAAAAGTTTGCATGCTGCTTTTCTTACAGGAACCTAGCTTTAATATGAAAAAACTACTGCTGCTCATATGGATCAAGCTTTTAAATTTTTGTTTCCCCTTTCCTCCTACGCATGTTCTTTATTTACTGAGCACTGCCCCCAGCTGCATCCAAAGATAGGTTTTTATAAAGCTTTCTGTTATGATGGTGATGTCCCAAATATTAATTTTCATAATTGCTTTCTGAGATGAGGAAGTAAATGTGCTGCGGGAAAGATGAAGAAGAATAAATGCTTTAAAAAATTTAGTACAAGTCTTATGAAGATTGTTGCAGAAATTAGGGTCAAAAGTAGAGATGACTCAAATTCTGGTTCCTTTTGGAACCTTTGACGTGAAATCAGATTTGAATGAAAAAAATTGATTTCTGAAAATGAGAAGTTCAATTCCATGTTTCTAGGCACACCTTAGTTCAATACTAATTCTCTTGCAGTAAAATATAAAGCTTCAATATAAAATTAGAAGTTAATCCAAATTTGTCTCTTCACTGTGAAATTCACATTTTTACAAAATGTTTGAAGTTCAAGTATTGCTTGTACTATTACTTTTAAAAAAAGCAGGAAGATTTTTCCATTAACTTTGGTCAAAGGTATTCACTCTTCATTCTCTGTGCTTGTGCAGCTCATGTCAATGCACTTCTGCAGTACAGACCAATTATTGCATTTCCATATCAAAGTGAGCATTTATGAAGGATGTGGGTGAAATGACTTTTTTTAGCTTCAGATGGTAAAGGCATCATTAGAGCTGAACCCTCTGCACCTGCGTGCACATGCTGTAAAGCTGCCAAATGTCCCCTGATCTCCATGCTGCATTCACAACAGTTTCCAGTGATCTCGGCAGCGCAGCAGGCTTCCTTCACTTGCAAAAATTCCTTTGAGTCCCCAGAGCGGGTTCACCCTGTGCCAATACTGGGAAAACAGTATGTATTTGAAATAGCTTAGTAGTATTTACAAGAGGTAATTAGGGTTTCAGAGAGGATATTAATTCAGTCATTTCCTTTTTTTTTCTCTCCAGTAGGTTATGGTTACATTGTAGAATGTTTTAATTCTTGTTGTAATTCTGTATCTTAAGAAGCCATTACATTGGGAGCCATTACATGTACACTTGCAGGGGACCTTGGCAAAGCTGAAGGCTTTTCAGTGGTCTCACCAGTTTCTGCCTACTTAGCTAAGGAGATGAGTAGTAGCAGAAGAAGGTGGATTTGGTTTTGGACAAGATCTTTATTAAGAAGGTTGACAGACTTTCCGTGTGTCTTTGTTGTACTTCCTGAAAACAGAAAATGATGGTGTGAAATAGATTTTGACTGTGTGCATGCTTCCTCTTTCTTGGTCCATGTACAGTTTTAGTATCAAGAGGAGGGTTTAGAAGCATCAAAGTGTTTTCAAAATGCCACTTCGCAGTGCTGTGTCAAAAGAATTCAGTTAATGAAAAAAAATCACGTCATCTGCTTTTACCTGTTTTGCATTATTCACACTAAAATTTTCTGTTTCAGATTCGTGATTCCAACTGTAACTATGAGGCCTTTATGAATATTATTAAATTAAGTGATAATATAGGAGAGTTGGAAGCAGTGAAAGATAAAGCGAGCGAAGAACTACAGTATCTTCGATCTCTAGATACAGCGGGAGATGGTTAGTACTGTATTGTCGTACAAAATATGAAATGCATTTGCCAGCACGATCTCTGAAGAAGGTTAAAAAAAATTTAGAAAATATAAACTCTGATGCAGCATAGTATAAAATACTTTGTTATTTTAAAAAAAAAAATGTAAATTGTTAAAACTTTAATCTTCTTATGTGTTGAAAAACAGGGTCCTTCTGTATGTGTCTCGTTTTTTGTTGTTTTGTTGTTGTTTGTTTGTTTGTTTTTAATATAGACTAATTGGTTAGATATATACGTCCATTGAATTGAAACTTGCCTGACTGGTGGTTCCGAATTTCAGTAATACTTTAGGTATTAATGGGTAGTCAGTTAACAGTTGATCTGAAAAAGGAATGAGAAAAATATTTCTTCGTGTTCACTTTCATCAGTAAGGTATTTAAACTGAAAAAAACCCTTCTCTTCAAAGCTGATGTGTCTTCTATGTGGTATGTCAATTTTTGTATGATTTTTTTAGAGCATTTCAGAACAAGAGTTTACTTACTCATCTGCATTGCTTAATCTTGTTTGGTTTTGCTTTCAGATATCAACACTATAAAAAATCAAATAAACAGTTTATTATATGTTATTAAAGTATGTGATTCAAGAATTCAGAGATTGCAGTCAGGAAAAGTAAGTATTTTCAAATTATTTTAGTTCTGAAAGAGTGAAGTTGCAAATGACATACTGGTTTGGTCTAGCTTTTTAATTATTGCGTTTTGAAACAGAACTTGAGTTATGCAGTTATAGGGGTACCTTATACAACTGAAGTGACTCCTGTATTTGCAGTTTTAATATGGAAAAATTTTCTAAAGGTTCACATGTTAAGAGTTTTTTGGATTCTGGCTTTAGCAGTTTAGGTATGTCAGTACATCTTAAAACTATTCTTACCTTCTCAATACAAGAGTTAAACCAAAATATTACATAGATGCAAAGCATCTTTGTATTTATACACCTAGATTCCGTTCTTTTTTGCTGCTCCAGTGCATACCTTGTGTGCCTCAAGCTTAGTCTTTGGCAGAGACCTCTCTTCTTGTTGGTAAAGGTAACACTTGCTGGTTATTTTGCAATGCCTTATAGACTCCATGTATTGCCTTTTGTCAGACATGTTTACCTCTTTAGTTCAATGAAAAGCTGGAGGCAAACTGGATGTTAAATTTGAGAACCTAACGTTGTTCTGTTTGCTTATTTTATATTTTGTTTTATATTTTAAGGCTGACAGAGTCAGTATGTTTGACTTTGCTTAGTTTCTTCTCTCTTAATTGGACCTAGATGTGGCTCCAAGATAATGTAATCTTGTGCATATTGACTGTTAAAATGTTTTAAGTATTCTACAGCTGGATCCAGAAGCATTACTGTAATACCAAGAAATGTCATATTAACAGAAGAAAGTTGGGCAGTGGTGAACTTAAGTTGTGGTGACCTGCACCCCATGAAATTCTGAAATTAGTTCGTTTTGTTAATTCATGCTACTGTCACCATTGGTGAGGGATTTGGGGTTAATTTGACCTGTATAGTACTACAATAACAGCAGTGTTAAAAGCCAGCTTCCCAGGTAGCAGAAATCATCCATGTTGAAGGCAAATAGTTATGAGAACATGACCTTATGATCTTGAACTTCACTTATTAGTGATTGTGAAAATAGCACACCTTTGGGAGGCTGCTTTATTATCTATAATGTAAATTACTTTTTATTACGTGTGCTTTGTGGTAAGCGAAAGTTTTAAAATCTAATTTTAAAAAAATAGAGCCTATGAACATGTGTCTTACAGGAAATAGATACTGTGAAACTGGCAGCAAACTTTGGAAAACTTTGCACAGTCCCTCTGGACCATATTCTGGTAGACAATGTTGCACTACAATTTTTTATGGGTAAGTGTTAATTTATCTGATCTTTTTTATTTATAAAGAATATGCTAACTCACAGGACTGTATACTAGAAATCACTAAATATAGGTGTCTATTGAGAGCCAAATGTTTGTAAGCCCCTTGCCAGAGGAAACTAAAACCTTTTTTGCAAATCAGTCCATAATTAACTGTTAGGAGCACCTTACTTAGTACTTCTGAAAGCTTGTATCAAGCTTGTTTCAAGACTGATTTCTCTGTAAGACTGATCTTGCAATGTTTCTTAGTCTGTCACTTAACAAGTTCGTTCTGTTTAGAACAGAATCATTGCAAGAATTTGTTAGAGGTTTATGATTGGAATGACTGAAACTTATCACAATCATTAGTCTTACTTTTGCTGGTCTCACTGAAGCTAATAACTATATATTGAAGTTTAGAGGGCTACAAGGCTACTGAAGGTTGTTTGAGAAGCTAAAATATAGCAGTAATTTACGTACTATTTTAGGTTTATCATATAATCGAGAAATTGATAGATGCATTAAAGCATAATTCATTTTTAATACTTTCTAATGCTTGACTCTCTTCTGTGAATTAATTGGGCTGCTGCTGATCATCATGAAGAATATCGATCGGTTTTGTTGGTGGTGATAGTCCTTTTATTGCAGTAGATGCATGTGATTTGTTAAAATTCCAGTTTGAACTTCCTCTCAACTTGTATCATGCTGTACAAGCCTGTTTCATCCACACAGTAATGATGGATTCACTTTTTACACATGCATTTTAGGATTCAGTGCTTAGTTTCTAGACTTCGCTCCCAATTTTGTTCACTGATTATCACCAATATGTATATAGTGCTTTTTATTTTTTGACTCTAGATGACAAGTATTCCAGATGTATAACCAGATCCTAGAGTTCCATTTGTGGTTAACATCATAGAGAATTCTCATTCTAGGATGCACAACAATAACTATGGTTGTGTGGTGGGTGTTTTCTGTAGATTACATGCAGCAGACTGGTGGCCAAGCACATCTGTTTTTCTGGATGACAGTGGAAGGATACAGGGTTACGGCACAGCAACAGCTGGAGGTACTTCAAAGCAGGCAGAAAGATGGAAAACATCAGACAAATCAAACCAAGGGTCTATTAAGAGCAGCTGCATTTGGAGTTTATGAGCAATATTTATCAGAAAAGGTAGGAATAATTTACTTCTGCATTTTTTGGAATTTATTCTTTGTACAGATCCTTCTTTGGTAGTTATGGCTACATTAATATGAAATGGATGTGATGTAACACAAGTTGTTTCAAGTTGACATTTAAGCTATTAGTTGTGTATCTTCTCTCTCCTTATGTCAAGCAGTAGGAAAATGTCTTCCTCGGTGTTTCCGCCCCGCCCCTCCCCCTCCATTTAAAAAGGCTCATACTGGCACTGACTATGCTGTCAAATGCACTGAATGTGTTCGTCAGAAGCTGACTTTCTAGAATAGAGGAAAAACTAGAGAAAATGTGAAGACAGAATAAGAAATTCTGTCCCTTTGTGTATGCTGTTCTTTCCCCTTCCCCTTCCTTTTACCCTGCCCTCTCCTCCCCTTAAGAAGAAATGTTTTTAAAAAAAATGCAACCCAATATTTGTACAAACTTGAATTAAGATTGGGTTTTCAGATGAAATAACTTCCTGTGCCTCTCTACAAATGTCTGTATAAATTGCTCAAATATCACCATTGGGTGTCTTTCAATAGGCTAAGTTTGAATGCTTCCAATAGTCTTGTAATAATGGAGCCTTCTGTGAAGGATAACACTTGTCAACTTGCGTTAACAAAGCATCTTTGTTCTGAAGTTGTGTATGCATAAAAATCACACCTCAACTCACTCAAAAGCTTCCTTCAACAAATTATCTCTCATGTAATGCTTCTCTTTCCACATCATTTCTTTCACTTTGGTTTTTCACCTCAGTAGTCTATCGATATGGTGATCTATCAGAGCTTGCTCTGATGGGTTTTTCACCTCAATAGTCTGTCGACATGGTGGACTGTGCAGAGCTTGCTCTGATGGGTTTTCGAGCTGACTGTGAATGCTCACCAGTTTGAGTCAGAAGCCACCTAACACTGGAGCTATTCCGAAGCTGATGAACTCAGCCTCTCAGCTGTGCTATCAAGTGAGCTATGTTGGGTCTGGTTCAGTGCTGGCTCCCTGTCTCTGTTACAGAAAATGGGGGAAGTGTGTGAACTTGGGCCCATCTAAAAGAATGCTTAATGGGCAGTGGTTTGAAATATGTCATACCAAGGGGCGACTGGGAATCTGGTGGCTGATATAGTTAGTGTGCTGGTAGGTGTAGTAGAGTCTGCATAAAAAGCTACCATGATTACAGCTACTGGTAATCTCTCCAGAAACTGGCAGAGTTGACAAACTGTTAGCCTTTCCTCAGATGCTTCAGGACTTCATCCATTTACTTTCTTACTCGCTTTTTCTTAATTTCTGAATCTCGACCTTTCTATTCATAAATAAATGAAATCTGTTTTTAAGACTGAGTAAATCTGGTTTAGATATTGCTTCAGAATAATTTGGTTTTGAGGTGATTCTTAGTATTTAATCCTGAAACTTCTGAGTTCTAATACAAACCCTGAACTTAATTTTGGGGGGAGCAGGGGGTGTGACTCTGTTGTGTGTTCTAGACAGTTCTACAGATACTTATCAAGAAGAAACTTAGTTTACTTAGAGAGTTGCAGAATTGTATTGGATTTTATTTGTGAAAATAGAAGCTTTCTTATTTTTATGCTGCAAAAGTTGATTTAGATCTCTGTGACAGGCATCTCCAAGAGTAAATATTGATGACAACTTAGTAGCAAAACTGGCAGAAACACTGAACCATGAGGATCCAACACCTGAAATCTTTGATGACATTCAGAGAAAGGTATACTCTATTCATCCTGTATTTCATAAGAACTGTTAATGCTATAGAGTATTAAATGTCACTACAGCCATTGAAAAAGGAGGAAGGAACTCGAATATCTGAAACCTAAAACCTGTTTTACCATTTTCCTATTCTATAAAAATCATACTCTAAACTGCCAACTTCTGCTTAGCCATACATAGCCCATGGTTTTCAAAGCAATAGACAGAAAGAGTAGGTATCCTGTATGAAATGAATTATGAAGCACAATTTAGAATTACGGGATTATTATTTGTGTTTATGCACCAATTTAAGAAAAGTGTCTGTGTAGAATGACTAAGTGGTACAATTTTGGTCAGGTTTTAGCTCTCTTTTTCAAAGGTGGATGTAAGCGTGTTACCATATTAAATTCTATATCTTTTTCCAGAAGTTAATTTGACTGTTCTGTTTCTGCAAGCCTGCACAGTGTAGCACTCAGAAGCAGCAAGTACTGAAGATAAAACAGTCTTTTTATTACGTGCATACGTAGACCTTATCACTCAAGTCTAATATATATATATTTAAAAAAAAAGTGAATTATTAAAATTATATACCTAGTCTGAGAGATTTTTATTTTAGGTCATTAACTGAATGTTCTCATTCATGCTAAAAATTAGTGATACGAGCTGTAGAACTTAGAATCACTCTATTGTACTTGAGGCCCACATTTAAGACTAATGAAAACACCTTGTGAAATCTGTGTTGCCCAAAGTAGGTTACAAGGGCCTTGCATGTGATTTCTGCAGAAGAGCATAAACTTCTCATGTGTTACGAAAGAAATTGACTTCCTCAGACCTGCATGAAAATTGTTTCTATTCTTACCAGGTGATAGCACTTGCACAAAGTGTTCCATTAAAAAAAAAAAAGGAAAAAAAAAAATCATTTAAATATTCTGGAGTTGACATGAATATCCAAACATCATGAATTAATTCCCGCTACATACGGATACATGGGTGTATATGTACTGTCACTGCATAGGCTATATAGATAACTTTCTGAGGTGGTGTGGTTAAATCTTTATGAGGTAGGGTTATACTGTATTGGCTGAACTGGAAATTTTCAGGAAAGTAGTATGCGGTGTCTTCCCTCCCTTCCTTTCCCTCTTCTCACCTCTCCCCCTAAGTGTTTGCAGGTCTATGTTTATAGTTTATCAACAAAGAAGGACTCAGAGAGAGAACCTGTTGTGAAATCGGTAAAGACCAAGTATGTTTATAGTGCAATTGGAAGGGTTAAGAGGAGAGGAAGGAAACGTTTATAGTTAACATGCTACTTCCCTCCTTATATGTGCTTGTCTTGCTAGTTAGAAAGGTACTTTCTGACACTGTATTATACTTCTAGCACAATTAGTTCTCTTAACCTTTCAGTTAAGAGTAAGCCTGAATTGAAATTTGACAAACTCGCATTAGGGTTTTAAACCCTAATGGAAACCCAGAAACACATAACAGAATGCACAGATACATGTTGGTCAAGTAGAATTTATGAAAGCTTGTCTGATTAAATAAAAAATGTAATAAATATTTCTAAGATTGGCATTTTTATTTCAATAAGGTGTATGAATTGATGCTGCGAGATGAAAGATTCTACCCTTCGTTCAAACAGAATGTGTTGTATGTGCGTATGTTAGCTGAGCTGGATATGCTGAAGGATCCTAGTTTCAGAGGATCAGACGATGGTGAAGGAGGTGAGCTCTGTATCTGTAAGGGGGATTGCCTGGGACCATTCTTTTTTCTGCTTTAAAATGAAAATAAGAAAATTATCCACACTGTTTTTGAGAAATCAAAAAGTTCCTGTACTATCTCTGATTTTTAAATTAATGTTTCCTCCTTGTGCTTTTTTTGTAAACTGTTTTGGGAGTCAAATATGTAGTACATTTATTAATCTCATGTACGTTGTTTGTCAAGTCTTGGTAACAAGTGTGTCACTAAAATAAGTGTATGACACTTTCATTCTCACTTTTTATTCAAAAATATTTGAGGTTCTTCAGTTGGGTTGTTTTAATATGTAACTATACTCTTCATCTGGAAATAGAAATTGAAAGTACATAGAAAATGTGGCTTTTTAAAGCAATTAAAATCGTTCTTCTCGTTAACTGAAGTACAAATCTAATAGAAATTATTTAACAATTAAACTGACTCCTTAATGAAGCAATTTCATGTAGTGGTATAAGCTTAAGGAGGAATGTTTTCTGGAGTATTTCTTTCATATCTATAGCTGTGTAAACTTACATACATTTTCCTTTAGGTGTCTTTACTGGAAACTTGAAGTATTTAAATGTTGGGCGCAACATTTTGCCCAATGGCCACAGTTGTCCATTATTTTCCATAATGGTGTGTCTTTGCATTTTTATTTCTTGTGTGTGGCCCTACATTGGAGAAAATCTTCTAACCTGTTTTTTCCTTTTCCCTTCCTCAATGCTCCCAGAATCTTTTAATGGGTCTCCTACTGGCAGCATAAATCTGGTAAGAGCTTGGATTTTCTTTAAAGTTATTATTTTTTTCTCCCTAACAGGAGGGAAAGTGTTATAAAATAGTTTAAATTACGTACTTTAGAGGTTTTAGTTCACTGCAGTTTAATTTCTGAAAAAATTCTTGAATCAAATTGAAACACACATAAGGTATCAATTAATCTGTAAGATAAAACTGTCCCTTTTGTACTTTCCCCTGTGTTTAATGAAATTTTGCATTGTTTCTTACAGAAACAGTAATAATCTATAGTTAATTTATGCAAAGCATACTTTCTGATCCCTGTTTGTTTTTTTAAATAGACATAAATTTGGAGTTAGGTAATAATAGGTGAAAACAAATCCTTTGAAACTGAAATCTCAAAGGATTAGATTCAAATAAACTGTAAATGAAACATTTAATTAGTTTGGATTTTTTTTTTTAGTTGGACTTGATTTGGAAACATAAAAGTATCTGGAGTTTATTCAAAATACGAATCTTTGTTTTCCAATCTGACTTATTTCAATTTCAGTTTTTGTTTAGTTTTGTTTTTTTTTCTTAAGCAATTCTTGACTGGGTCAGTTTGTCAGAACCCTTTCTTTGTTACATGAATGTACCTAAATATTTGAAATATGCTTCTGCGTGTACTAGTGATTGCATATGTATGAAGAGAACTGTATACTTCTACCAGACTTTTTCCAAATAATCTGTCCCACATAGATCTTATTAGGTTTAAAATGTTTTAAACTGAAAATCAAGTCACAGTTATTTAAAAAGAAAAAATCATAAAAATTTTGATGTATTTCCTCCCCTCCCTCTTACTTGTTTCTTCAGACTATATGTATCTGAGCCACAAGATATGCAAGGTTCAATTGTGCATATAAGAGTATTTTACCAAATCTTCTAGTTTTAGAATGGTTTGCAATCTGCATGCAATTTCCTGGCTTACGTGATTCGTAGGCTCTTCTAATTCATTCTTGGAAGATGCTGTAGTTCTTAGGAGTTCTAGCGCATTGGTTAGATCATGCTTGCACGTAGAGGAGTAGAGTTTATTTTGTAAAGGAATACATTTAGCATAAATGTAAATGTGTTTCCATGTGGGGGTTGTTTGTTTGTGGTAGTGTGTTGTTTTTTTTTTTTTGAAGCTGGAATTTTTTTTCCTCTTGTTTTCTTCTTGTTTACATTTTAAAATAGGAAGAAAAGGGGAGGTGGTCAGCTGATACAATTTACACAAACGCCTATTAGATGCAGAAGGAAAACTTAATTTAGCCATATTTTTTATAAATTTACATATAATTCTGGTGACATTTCACAAGAGATTCTTTTAGTTGATTAATTTCTTGAAAAGATCTTTCACATGTCTCTTAAGTACTTTTTCTACGAATGTTCTGACTCATAATTTATAGATGGGGATTTGCCATTGCAGTGGCTCATCTGGCTAGCAGTTATCTGCTGCTTAGTTTCATGTGGCCCTTCCAAACTAAGGTAGAAAGCCTTAAAGCCTCTATCAAGCACTGTTGCAACACAAATAGATATTTGCACGGGACAGTTCAAAGTCTTGATTTTTGTTGTTGTTGTGAAAAGGATATTTGCAGAACATTACGTTTGTTACTTTTACAAAGAGTGAAGAACATTCTAGCAGAAATGCGTAATAAATCTCTGTATATGCAGAAGGACTTCTGCTTTCTGTTGTCCATATTGTTTGGGGGTTTCACTGCTTTTACAGGTGTTTGAATTCTGGTAGATTAGTTTTTCCTGGCTGAATTCCATGTCAAGAGTAAATTTCTGTACGCATAGTTTAGCTCCCTTGTGTTAGTCAGTTACATGAAGAAAAACAGACCTTGGAAAGGTTACTTCAAAGGTCAGGGAATTTCTGTACTTCTAGCTAATGACAATGCATTAAATAAGATTGGGTTGTGGTGTGATATTTTTGCTTTTTAATTTAACTTGTGTTCCTGTGAATATACGTAATGTCAAAGATATTAGGTCATATTAAATACAAACTGTCTGTTATGTTATCTGTTCGAGTTTCAACCATTTCATTTACTTGTATTTATTGTTGCTGTATAGTGCCTTGCCACAGCAGTTGAGTGTTTCCTAAAGTTTCCATTATAAAACACATCTGCAGTTTATACTTTCACTGCAAGAATGTATTTTAGGATTATTTGGAAGAGATGCTCAAAACTATTTTGAGCAAAAGTTATTTTACAAAAATATCTTCTTAATATCTGCCTTTTAATTTGACACGTTAGTCTACTATATTAAACCAATAGGGCATATAAGGGCATATACCAGGGGGTATAAAACATTAGAATATTTATAGGCTCTTGCAGATTTCATCTAAATGGATCCATAATGTGAGCTTTACATACTGCTTTTGCATTGAGTAAATAAAAGGAGTTACACTGGTGTTACATATCCAAGACCATGAATGGCAGCAGAACTGGGTTGAACTTCTGGCAGTCATTAGTACATGTCAGTTTGAACCCCATTCTGTTATCAAGAGGAAAACGGAACTGTTAGGGTGGCAATGAAGGGAGGTGGGGAAACAAAAAATAATGATGCCTTTTAAAAAATACAACAGTAGCTTAATGTCAGTATTTCATAGCGAACAAAACATTAGAGCGGTTGTCTTCTTTAATAACATCCCTTCCATCTTACTGATAATCAAATCCTGGAGCTCTCAATATCAAGCACTTATCCAATCTTCCACAAATTCCTGCCGTTCATCAGTCTCAGGTGATATTCTGCTTTTAAATTTGGACATTGCAGTATAGAGCACACCTTACAGGGTTATTGCTGTCCAAGGGTGACTTGCTTAGGAATGGACTAGGGAGAAAATCCAGCCCTATATCCAACAACGACCAGAAGCAAGCGTCTAATGAAGATTATAGGAGCAGTCCACTTATGGTGATACTTTACCAGAATACTCTCCAGCATCCAGTTACTTACAGATTTGGGAATTCTTGATGTAAAGATGATGTCTGCTCACAAAATATTTTTGCATGAATTCATCTGTTCTACCATTGAACAGACAAACTTCTAGCACTATAGCATGGCAAAACATATTTCCCACACAGGCTCCTCTTTCTTCTACCTTTTTTCAATCTGGGACTTTTGTACTGTGAGTCTACAAGCTGTGTCATACGATATTTAGGAGACTCCTTACTGCAATACATGTTAAAGCATAGTTAGTGTGTTCAGACCTTTTTAACAATGCCATTTATTCAGTATGTAGACTTTACAACAGAAACGTTATTCCCCTCGCCTTCCATGGTGGATATTTAGGCAGAGACTGATTGAGGTGATTGAAGCAGAGAAGAGCTGTTCTCTCTAGAGAGCTTGAGAAGGAAGAGTGGAGTATTGTGCAGGGATATCGTGGAGATTCAGATGAAGAAGGGGCAAGAGCAGAGTCTTTAACTTACGTTTTCAAGTCCAACCTATTTTTTTTCTTTTGATTGTAATCACATAAGATTGGTTTATGTTTAAGGAAACAGAGGAGTTTAGAAACTTGATTGATGTATATTGAGGTTTTAGTTTGACACAAGTACGGCACTGCTACACAGTAGGTCTGATTCTAGGTAACGTTTTGTGGCAACTCACTATTAAACTGGCTTGGTTAAATTATAAAAGATAGCTGCATATTAATTCTGAATGTGTATCTTTGAAAAATTTTAGAATTTTGGGATAAAATACATAAAGTAGCTGAGATCCCAGTGCCTATGGATTCTACTTAAGTACCTCCATTTTTTTTTTTTTTTTTTTTTTTTTTTAACCTGGTAGTTTAAGATTAGGATCACACGTGTAGTGGCTCATCCTCTATTTCTTTCAGTTGCATATCCAAGTTTTCCACCCAACAATCTTGCAGAGCTTTATTATGTTAAATCTTAGTAGTCGGATGTATTAATTTTAAATAATAGCAAAGCTTCTCTAAAAGATGCATTAGGCTTCTTTTGATCCCAATAATTACTGAATAGGGAGACAGGGCATTAGCCAGCTGAGGATGTACCTGTTCATTTTTTAGGAGGGAAGACATTTCTGAGAAAAGTGTTCACTGTTTTTTACATACAGCAGAGAAATTATTCAACTTTTACTGCACTGTAACTTTTGTGTAGTGCTTTAAGTCAGTTGAAAGAAAACAGAATGGAATAAAGATAAAACTAAAAATCTGTTATACATCTGTGACGCCCATCTACAAGAAGGACGGGAAGGAGAATCCGGGGAACTACAGGCCTGTCAGTCTGACCTCGGTGCTGGGGAATGTTATGGAGCAGATCATCTTGAGTGCCGTCACTTGGCACATACAGGACCACCAGGTGATCAGGCCCAGTCAGCATGGGTTTGTGAAAGGCAGGTCCTGCTTGACCAACCTGACCTCCTTCTATGACAAAGTGACCCACTTAGAGGATGAGGGAAAGGCTGTGGCTGTTGTTTACCTAGACTTTAG